AAAATAGTGCATAGAAAGCCAGTAGTCAATCAAAATTAAAAGTGTGTAATTAGCTGGGCGTGATGGCTCAAGCCTGTAATCCCAGCACTTTGGAAGGCCAAGGCGAGAGGATTGCTTATGCTCAGGGGTTCAAGACCAGCCTGGGCAACTTGGTGAAACCTCTTCTCTACAATAAATAAAAAAAATAAGCCAGGCATGGTAGCGCATGACTGTATTTCCAGCTACTTGGAAGGCAGCGGCAGAAGGATCGCCTGAGCTCAGCAGGTCAAGGCTGCAGTGGCCGTGAGCATGCCACCGCACTCCATCCTGGGCGACAGAGTAAGACTCTGACTCAAAAAAAAAAAAAATGTGTAACTAAAAGGAACCTATAATATATTGCTTTCACAAAGATGTTTAAAATAGAAAAATGTATGCTTGGTTAGAAAATAATTTGGCATTGATTTGACTTTCAATAAATGATTGTTTTATAAGAATTTCTAGGTGACTATTCACCATATTCATACTTAGTCTTTCATAGCCACCCTGTCTTATGTTCATGTGATAAGATTCTATTACATTATGATTTGGAGAAAGTTGCCCATTTTTAATAAAAGTAAAAACCTGAAAAATTAAATTAAAAAATAAAAACAAGTTTGGATTTTTTCCTTTTACTGATACTGTGTCAATGCAAGTAAAATTATTATTTGCAAAGCCCTTTGTAGATACAGCCAAATTAGAAGATGCTTTGTCCATATAACAGAATCATCATGATCTTACTAACAGCAGAAGATTCTCTGATAGTTTGACCTGTGATGTGTGTTTGAAACTTAAGCACTGAGATGATCTAAACATAAGCATTTAAAATCATGTGTTTAGAAACATCCATTTTTATTGCTACTTACCTTCCTTGTGATTAATTGTTGGTTAAAAAAGATGAGGAAACTAATCAAATGCGATTTTGGTTCCCTCCACTAGGTAGTACATGGAACCCAGTGAAGCAAACGAAATGGGTCCTTAGGTAAGAAATATCTTTTGTGTGTCATTGTTTGCACATGGCACCAGGAAATAAATATTAAACAACATAATTTAAGTCTAAGGATATATGGACAAGGGAATTTCATTTTCCCTTGATAATTGCATCATTTTGAATCCTCTCAAGTGGGATTTTCATCCTAGCAAAAGGATTCAGGTGGGGGAAATTCCTGATTGGAGACAACAGAGGAGTGGTTCCAATTCCTTCACCATGCTTACTTTCCCAAGAGGAAAAAGAATTTCAAGGATTTAATATTATTTACATTTAATATGAGTTAATATGACTTGGATAAAGCATGATATAATGGAATATGTTTACAAAAATCAACACAGTTTTTTTCAAGATCTTTAGATAGCAATTGAACTATTTGTGAGAAATGAGGTGAGCTAAGTAGTCTCTGCTGGTGAATTTTATCTAATATTTATTTTTTTATGCAATTAAGTTGATTGAAACTGCAAAGAAAAATTATTAAAAATCACTTTGTTTGATCATTCCATAGGTGATCAAAAATGTCTGTAAAGCTGAGTGGGGTGGTGCAGGCCTGTCGTCCCAGGTACTCAGGAAGCTGAGGAGGAAGGATTGCTTGAGCCTAGGAGTTGAAGACCCGGCAGGGTAATACTGTGAGGCCTTGTCTTAAAAAAACAAAAAGTCAGTAAAGATAATTTGATATATTGTTCCAACTATGATTAACCCAAAATAATAGAAAATTCAATAAAAATAAAGTTAAAAAATATTGAAGGAATATTTTTATAATATATTTGTATTCTTTAACATTAGAATCCATAAGGTCCAATTTTGAAGCTATATAAAAGTTTTAGACATCCTCCAGATTTGTTCACTCAAAAGGAATTAATATTTGATAAAGACAATTGTAGAGGTGCATTTGAAATTGAGTGGAATATAAACAGATAATGAATGTTTGAGGGATCTGTCAAAAAAATGTGTCAATTGTTCGTAAGATATATCTGTAATATCGTTTTGCTCTAGGGACATGCTTTGAAGAGTAAATAAATATTTTATATCCCAGTACCGTAACTGTTAACTACATTAATTACAAATGGTGTGGAATAAGTATATATATGAGTATCAGCAGCAGAATCATTTTAAATCAGTATTATTGAACCAGTTAAACATTTTTGCATTGGAAATGACTAAAAACTCAATTCAAACTTCCTTAATAATTACAGATTAACGTTTGGTGATCCAGATATAGCAAATTGTTTTATTCAGTGAATGATCAATATAATTAATTTTTCATATTTTGTCTCAGCTTTATATAGGTTTAGCTTCATTCCAATTTTAGGTCATGTGGTTATAGAAATATGAAAGCAATATCCTCAGGTTTCACACCTGCAATTCACAGTGTACATCATTACTCAGGTAACTGTCAGGGCAATATGGGAAACTGTTCATCAGAATGCTGCCCCTCCAATAAATAAACACTTGATCAAATTGGGAAACAAATGGTTGAATGCATATTCCTGAAATAGTCATGAAGGATGATGTTACTATTAGTGGTGAATCGGTTGACTCACCCTGGAGCTGGCCTTCAGCTGTATGTTACCTGATTTATAACTCCCAGATCTCATGGCTTACAACTTGCGGCATTTCTCATTTATATTACCTGTTGACTATTAGTCAAGTACAACTTCTCTATGTTATCTTCTTTCTTGTTTCTTGTGTCACAAACTCATCAGACTCTGTGTTGATGTCACTATGATGACAAAGGGATAAGGACGTTGGTGGAACTAGGTGGTTGTACTTAAAGCCTTTGTTTGGATGTGGAAGCCTTCATAATTACTCACCTTCCACCTGCTAGAGTGAGTCACAAAATGAAGTCTTATGTCAAAGATGGGGTGCACCAAGGACACGTCTGTCCTTTGCTTCCAGGTGTAGTGATTGTAGCTTCCCAGTCATATGATAAAATTTTGTATATGCTTAGGTCTGTAGTATAATAATCAATGAAAAATAAGACACTCTTAATACTTCTCATCAATGTTATTATCAGGGCATTGAATGCCAAATAACTAGCATCTTACTCAACACTTTCTTGGAAGCAGTAGCCAGGGTAAACAGGACCAGAGACAAAAAGATACTAGCTTTTTAAAAACAAAGCAAAATTAATGATTTTTGGATATGACACAATTAATCTAGAACACCATAAGAATGCTCAGGAAGTGTAGTGAACAAAAAAATAATACAGAGTAATTAATGGCCTTAAAGAGTTAGAAATTCTGTTCTTATAATATCCCAAATGCAGCAAAATTGATATGTTTTATAAATATAAATTCATCAAGAAACTTGCAATATGCATGGACAGTTCATTTTTTTTCTAAGCATCCCTTAAAAGGAAGTAAGAAAATATATCATGTTTCCTGATGACAGGACAGAAAGTAATGAAGATTTTAATGCATCCCATATACTCTGTTAAAATAGTGGAATTCTGATCCAAATGTCAAATTTTGTAGATTCCTCTTGAAGTATGAATTGGAATATGAGGTGAAGGGACATTATGAACAACCTTGATGCATCTATCACACAGCTTCAAAAATGATCAGTGCAAGACAATATTTTTCTGTATATTTTGACCAGTCTTTACTGGTTCTACTTTTTAAAGTAAGTCCCATGCATGATATTCTTTCACTTGTAAATGCTTCATATATATTTTTAACAATTAGACCTTTTTAAATGTAATTTTATTTTTATTTCTTTAATATGCTCAACATTTCAAATTGTTCTGAATGAGAGTTTTTGTTTTTTATTATTTATTTATTTATTTTAAAAATGTGGGGTACAATTCAGGTTAGGTATACAAATATTCATTATGCAGTTACCTTTGTTGATGAGGTGTGCCCCTCCCTCCCCTGGCAGTTTCCCTCAACTGCCAATTCATACAATATGGAATACTATGCAGCTATAAAGAAGGACAATATGGAACTTTTAAAACATAATTATTATATCACTATCAATTCTAAAACACTGACTTATTATTACTTAAAATTATCTAATATTTTGTTTAAATTTTTATTCTCATATATGTATATTTAAAAAGCAGAGTCTAAAAAAACCCTTTTCTATTTAAGAAGGTTGAGAAATTTTTTAAGCCCCTAAAAATTTATAATTTATATGGATAAATATGTTATATTACATTAGTTATTGTTAAATTATATATAATACCTATTATCAACAATTAACCATAATACTTATTAGATATACAGTATAGTATAATGTCAAATTCATTAAAACTTTGATAAGTATTTTTGCTATTGTTTTAAAATTCCCAATTGTGGAAGCAAAATATTGACTTTCGCCTATTAAATCTTCTTATAAGATCTTCATATTTTTAAGCATCTTATTATATTTATTTAATACAAGATATTTAGTTAATTTGATATAATAACATTAACTTGAATATTTACATTATTACACTTTTTTATTTTTGCTGTTATTCAAATAACTTAAAATAACTCTTAATAGAACATTTATCTTTCTTTGCAATAATTTTTAGGATAAATTGCCAGAAGAATTTGTGAAATATAGTCCTATAGAGGCAGCCTCAGCTAGTGGCTTCTTGCTTATTTAATTTAACAGATTGAAGTCTCTAAATGAATAAAAATTTACTTAATTTTGTCTAATTAATTTCTTCTTATTATTCCATAAGAAGTCATCAAAAGTAAAAACCATGTTTTTTTCTAAGATGGATTGCTTGAAGTATAGAGAACATATTCAGTTACCAGTGTCCTTCAGTGGACTGCTCTGTAGACTACCTTTGTTTCTGCTGACACAGATATCTGAACAATACATTTTAGAGGTATGTATTGGCAAAACCAACGCATGTGCTAACTTAATTATTATTGTCAGGGTTTTCAAAAGACTTCTTTCCACATGTGATGAGATAGGAGTGTTACTTGTCTTTCTGTAAAAACTAACAATGTATTTCTTCTAGGTATCACCTATAGAAAAAGAAGACATAATTCAGGCATTTTTCCTATTCATTTTTGTACATAGAATTACTTTTAAGCATATTTCTCACTGCCACCAGAACGTCTTTATTCCTTAAGCTGTAGATGATAGGGTTGAGTGTGGGTGTGAGGATGGTATAGAATATTGCCAGGAACTTATCCTGGCCTGGAGTGTGGTATGATTTAGGTCTCATGTATGTAAAAATAAATGGCCCATAGTACATCATGACCACAATCGTGTGGAAGGAACAAGTGGAAAATGACTTCTTCCGTGCCTCCGAAGACTTCATTTGGAGTACAGCAAGCAAAATGTAGACATATGAAGCAGAGATCACAAAGAAAGGGATCAACAGGAAAATGATGCCACTTATGTAAATTCCCCTTTCATAGTGTGATGTGTCTGCACAGGACAACTTCAACATGGCAGGGATTTCACAGAAAAAGTGATCGATGGCTCTGGAACCACAGAAGGGAAAATGGAGTGTGTAAGTTGTGTGAATTATGGAGTTGAAGGTCGCAACAAGCCAGGCCCCTCCAGCCATGAGAACGCTGATGAGTTCATGCATAAGAATGGGATAGCGCAGTGGGTGACAGATGGCTACATAGCGATCATAGGACATTGCAGCCAGGAGAAGACACTCGCCACCCAGTAGGGTGAGGGACAGAAATATCTGGAATCCACAGCCTTGAAATGAAATAGTTCTGCTGTCCAACAGAAAGTTAGCAAGCATTTTGGGAACAATGTTGGAAATATGCAAGATATCCATAAAGGACAGGTGACTGAGCAGAGAATACATTGGAGTATGGAGTCGTGAGTTGTTGAGGATAAGAAAGATCATGAGTGTGTTTTCTGTCACACTCATAATAAAAGTGATAAATATCATGGAGACAAAGACCAGACTTGTCTGGGAAGTGGAGAACAACCCCAAAAGAATGAAATCACTGCTGAAAGTGTGATTCTTCTGTTTCATCATGAATTCTCCACTATTTTCCTAAAAAAAAGGTAAAAGAAACAAATAGTGTAAATATTAATCTCATAATCTTATTCTAGCATAATAAAGTGAGAGTTAGTGAAGCATATTTTGCAATCCACATCAAAGGACTCAGTTTTTGGAGTGGGCACATTTTACAAAATGGGCATTTATTTGCTTGAATAGATTGAAGATGTTCAGTAAATTGAATGGGCCCTTGGTTTCATGTTGAATCTCATACTTTTAGTTCATTCTATATACTTTACTCAAGTTCATTCTATTCTCAAGTTTTTTCTCAGGGAAGCATATCCCTATACACCCTTTTAAAAAGCTTAATGTTCCCACTTGTACCCCAATTTCCTGGTCTTCTTTCCTCTGCTTCATTTTCACTTTTCCATATTGATTTTCACCTTCCAGCATATTAAATCATAAACACATGGGTTTTATTTTTTGTATATGGTCATTCTCCACTAGAATTTTAACTTCATGATGGGAGAGCATATTTTGTTCACTGGTATAGACCAAAGGCCTGGAACATTTGAGAACGTAGAGCAATTGCTTAGTAATGTTTGTCGGGTGCATGACTGAAATGAATGGACCATGGGATTTCATTTTCTCTTTGGTGCATTTTGAATTAAATTAAACTTATAAAAACGAAATTTATGACTCAAAGATTTTTCAAAATAATAAGTAATGATACTTCAACAAAAAACAATATATGTTTGTAATTTGAAACATTATTTGTATTTTAAATATAAAAAAAGCTTTATTTGGTCAACATGAATAGTATGTCATTAAGAATATATCTTACTATTTTACATTTGCTTATTTTTTTAACTTGTAGAAATTGCATCACATTATATTAATTCTAAATGTAGGAAATTGTAGGTGTTGATATTACTATTTATATTTGGATAGTGATTACTTAAAAGTTTATATAATAAGTATGTGTGCATCTTCTTTATGAATACTCTCTCCCTCATTATAAATAGACATATATGCATGCATATATTTATATATGAATGGTGAATTTTAGGACTACATCAGTCCAGTTTTCTGTTTTTAAATAAATGGTATGATCATCAAGAAACAAAAAACAAACATTAAAATAACTTCCATCTTATTAACAACTGCTTATAAGTTTGAACACAACAAGCTTAAATTTTCACTTTTGTGGAATCAATATAGCCATTTCACTGATGACATATAAATAACTTTTAGTTTTTTGTATTTTATTTTTGTGAATATTGAGATTCTTCATTATGAGATAAACAAATTTCTTAATCTTATTTTTATTCCCTTGAATATTTACAATGGTATGCTGTGACTGTAAGTGTAAGAAAAGAAAAAAAAGTATTAGCACCTGGAAAAGGTTTACAGATATATGTGCAATTTTTCCTATTTTAACTGTTTGACCCATGGCTCAGTAAAATGTGATGGTGGACATAGATTCCAAGTAAAGGGCATGATGCCTTCGATGAGCTGATTATAAACGAATTGCCAAAAATCAGTGAATATTTTTATGAACTCAAATTCAACATATCTGTATCCAATGTTGTTAATGTTTTCCCACACTCTAGAATCAAATCATTCTTCTGATTTGCTTTTTAAATCATTGATTTACTGTATTATAGTCATTCTATGCCCACTTACTCCTAAACCCAAGATTCTTAGCAAACTCCTTTGAACTATTCTAAGTCTCACTGGTCGCTTATTACAAGAATGATTTACGTATTTTTTATGGTCTCTGATGTCGAAATATTTTAAATTATTTACTAGTTTTTCTTCTCTGTATTTATTACTTGCTTTTAAATTTTATAGAGTTTATATTGTCCATACAATATCTGTACAAATTTTCTTTTCAGATATTGGAAGCAATTCATAATTTCCTTCTTTCTTTCATTGTCTTACTTTTAACACTATATGTCCACTTTAACAAGGCACCTGAAATTTCTACAATGCTTTTTTATGACTCTGTGCTTCACCAATCAGAAATATACTGTCATGATGGTGGAATGATTAATGAAAGCAAGTCTTCTATGCTATCCAGGAGTATTTTCACTTTGAATGAAACCTATGCTTGAATCCAAAGAGGAAGCCTCTAGTAGTGAGCTTCTTAATTCTGTGTTCAAAAGCAGAGAAAACATGTGTCACATATCATGCAACCTCTTCCACATACATGCAACTCTTTCCCAAAATGAAGTCTGTTTTTCACTCATCTAGTTCCACAGTTACCTTGTTAATAATGTTAAATATTGGAGAAAAAAATGTAATGCACACTTTACACACTTGAGGCTAATCAGAGAACATGTTTTCCATGTGATTTTAAGTCTAACGTTTTTCAAGAGAGCTTTGGATTGGTGGTTTTTAGAAATTCTTACATTTTCTAAAACTCTGTCAAGGTCTTTATATATATATATAATCATTTGGAAGAAGTAATCAGATTGTGGTTATGGAAAAAGAAACATTGAAGGGCACTAGCATAAATCATGTAGGTCATTTCATACTCAGAAAGCTTAATACAAATAATAATAATTTTTTTCCAGACACATTGCAGTTTTTCAAATGATAAAAGTATGTGATTAAGTATCTGCATAGGGACAGTATTTGTGTTCGTGTGATTTCCTACCATATCTAAAAACATCTTCATTCATAAACAATAATTTGGAATCCCTAATTTATTTAGCCAATTAACCAATTAGTTTGTAGAAGTAGCCAAATTGTGTGATTTTTGTTAGTGAAATTACTTGGGACTTAATATACTTATCCTAGCCTGGCTCGGTGGCTCAGCCTGTAATCCCGCAATTTGGGAGGCTGAGATGAGTGGATTACCTGAGCCCGTGGGTTTGAGACCTGCCTGGGCAACTTGGCGAGACCTCATCTCTACAATAAATAAAAAATCAACACAGTATGGTAGCGTGTGCCTGTAATTCCAGCTACTCGGAAGGCTGAGGCGGAAGGATCGCCGGAACCCAGCAGGTCGAGACTGTAGTGGCCGGGAGCGGCCACTGCACTCCAGTCTGGGCGACAGAGTGAGACTCCAAGTCAAAAAACAAAATACAAAAAACAAAAAAACCCCTTATCCTTGTTAAGGATAAACTGAACTGCTCTTAGCTGGTTACTGTGCAGATGTTCCATTGAATTCACCCCCCACTTTAAAATTGTTTTCTGACTCTAGATACAGTCGTATCTTATACCTTTATTCATTGACCACACTACACTAAAATCCTTTGGATCATTTTATATCCATAATGTTTCTTAAAATATACTACATATTCATTAATTTAGACTTAATTCAACTAAAAGATACTTTTCGATTTCTCTACCATATCTCTCATTATGCACATAAAACATACAATATATTTCTTTAAATTTGCATTTATGCAGAGAATCATTGTTTATTAATATTGATATTGCTATTCACGTTAAGCAGACATTTATTTGCTCCTACATTTTTTCTTCACATTAATTTTTTACTGCAAGAGAAACAAATGACAACAAATGCCTAGTCAATTCTATCTGAAAAATACTTATTTGGAAAAGTATTTGAAAGTGTTATTCTCTCTCATCTGCTGTGTTCCATGTGCAGCCCTGGTAACTTTAACACATACATTCTATCCTCTTTTTCAACTGAAGAGAATCTGCAGGGCCCCAATGCCACCTACACATAATCACACACTATTCATCACTTTTTGAAGCCAGTAGAATGTGACCAGTTGATAAAATTCTGGACAATTACTACAGATGAGTGGTGGGAACCAAAGATGGATACTCTTCTTGCTTCCTTCACACTGTTTTTAGCATATGGATATGATGATGTGTGTTCCTGAAAACTTCCTGAAACAATTTCACAGGGACCAAAACCAAGGAATTCAGGAGAAAAAAGCTGTGAGTCACAAGTCAAACTTCTGCTGATTGTGAGTTACAAAAGCTGCTCGTCAGCTAAAATAAACTTTCTTCCTTTGAACAAGTTAAAAATGATGCCTGCTCTAGAATACTTCAATGTTGTTCTGAAAAAAGATTATATAACACCGCCAAAACGTACTGTTTCTGAGTATTTACTATGTGTTGGGCTTTATGCCAGACAACAGAAAATTAATGGACAGATGGGACTATATTAAACTAAAAATCTTCTGCACAGCAAAAGTAACAATCAACAAAATGAAAAGACAAATGAAAAATGAGAGAAAATATTTGCAAACTGTTCATGTCAAGGGATTGATATATAGGATAGGCAATGACCTCAAATGACTCCGTAGTAAAAATAGCTGATGAAAATGGGCAAATGATCTAAATAGCCGTTTCTCAAAACAAAATATACAAGTGGCCAAGAAGTATTTAAAAATTTTTTCGCCGGACTCGGTGGCTCAGCCTGTAATTCCGTGCCTTTGGGAGGCTGAGGTGAGTGGATTGCCTGAGTCGGTGGGTTCGAGACCCGCCTGGGCAGGCGAGACCTCATCTCTACAATAAATAAAAAAAATTAGCCGGGCGTGGTAGC